TCGTTCCCTACATTTTTTTTTTAAATGTGTGGTTGCCTGGTTTTAATGTTGCAGCAATAGTTTGTGGCACAGAAATAACAGTATGTTAACCATGAAAGTTGAAGTGATTCATGGCTGACTTGAGAATTCTCTTCACCACATTTCACCTTCAGGAGACCATCACCCTAATGGTGTTTGCAGCAGCCCCTCTGGGCTCCTGGGTAGTGCAGAATGTCCTCATCACACACAGAGAGCTCTTACAATGGAAAACTGAAGTGCTGATATTTCCATAGATATCAGCATAGATACATGACAGTGTTCCTCAAGGACTTACGTCTTCAATTTTCTTATCTATTTTTCTGCAACTCTTTAAACAAAAATATCTATGCTCCAAATTCAGAAAGGTCACTGTCCCCAACCACAAATTTAATTATCAGCTTTCCCCTTCTGCTAACTCTTTTTTTAACTCTTTAGTTAATTTTAACCCAGTGTCCCACATTAGGAGCCTTTAGTTTCCACTTGAGGGAGTAGATACTTAAATGAGTGCCCCCAGGGAAGTGAAGCTCAGTTAAGTGATCACCAGTGGGAAGCCAAGGTTATACACGGCGTATATACCGTGGAAAGCTTCCGATCTCTTGTTGCAGACAAAATGTCTACAAAAACAATACCACTCCTTTCCCAAATTCCTGCATTTTGCAGATGTGAAGCTCATCTTCTACAGGAGAAGGCAGGCTGTTCTGGGGGAGCTCATAGTGCTGTCTTTTTGCTGCTGCTGCTAATTTTTGTGAGCACCATAGAATACAGTAGAAAATTGAAACTGTGTGAAAGATCAACAAATCAGTGTAGAATGTCACGCAGCAACATCTGTTAACTTTGGCTCTATCTCATATCCTCCTGACCCCTCCTTTCTAGCCACAAGTCTCCTGTTTTGTGAGAGCTCAGAGTGATAGGGACTTGGGGAAGGGGGGAATGTCTAGCTGTTTCTCAGTGTTCTGAAGGGCTTGCAAAAGTACCATCTGGAATGAAAGTTTTATGCTTGTGTGCGTCTATATTTTTAGTTATGAAACAAATGGGAATTTGCTGAATGAATTAATTGTATTGTGCTGTGAAAGTCCATCTCAAGAGCTATTATATAGGGGAGCTTACAAAGGCTGCAGGGAGAAATGAAAGCAGCCTCCATTTCTAATTAGGGCTTTCAGAAAATCATTGATTACAGAATAAAATAGGGTTGCTCAGAGGCATTTGTTTGATGTTACTTCTGATAAACAAAATTTTTACCTACTAATAATTGTACTGGTGACACTGGAAGCAGCGGCACTGTCTAATGGTAAGCTTGCCTGCAATAAAACTCCCCCCTTTCCTCCTATCTTGTCCAAATAGTTACAGCTAATGAAACATTACTTCCAAACTGCAGATCCCAGTAAAAAAAAAAAAAAGAAATCATGAAGAAATGAGCGATGTAGTAGTCAGTATGTTCTTAATGGGATGGTCTTCACCTGGACCAAGTTAATGGTATAAGCTTGTGCTTGCAATGCATTTTAAAAAAGTCAAAACCTTGGCCTGGTATGTTGAAATTCTTTATCCTTTTTTTTTTATTATTATTTATTTATTTTTATTTTTTTCCTTTTTTAAACAGGGTCAGGCTATTTCACTAGCTCCTATTCCAAAGCTAGAGGAAGCTTTGTATAAGTATGAGCCTCTGCAAGTGGAGACATACGGACCACAAGTTCCAGAGCTTGGAATGCTGGGAAGGCTGGGGTAAGTAACACAGCAAGTTTTAATTCCAGTTTCATGGCATTATAGCTGGGACTGTTACCATCTTCAACTTGCCAGCACGTAGGGGTCTTTTCTTCTTTCCTTTTTCTTTTTTTCTTTTTTAAGGATCTTAACGAAATATTAGACTTCCTGCCCAACCAACATTTTGTTTGGGTGGATAAGCTGAAATTTTTGGTCCTCTAGGCTTTATAGATCTATTGAGAGCTGGACTGGATTGAATTAGTGTTTTTAAGGTTGTCCTTGGCAGTCATGGTGAAGTAGCTGTTCATTTTCAGTTGCACGGTATTAAAAAATAAATAAATAAAAATCTGGGGCTTAATTTACCCAGCTGTAAGCCAGTAAAAATATTAAAGTTGGGCTGTTTGCCATGGAAAAGGGTAGATTTACTTGTCGACTGCTGTCTACAGTCGAACTGCGTTTGTGAGAAATGAAGCACAGAGCTTAACTTTGTCAAAAGATACAATGCAGGGCTGGTCCAGCAGCTTGGCGGCATCATGATGTGCAGCCATGTTTGGAAGGGAGTTTGGGAGCCTGCTGTGCCTGGGTGACGGAGGCTGGGAAGTCCAAAGTGACATGTCTGCTCTCTAGAGGCATGATGGTAGCTGAAATGTCACCTGAAAACGTGTAGCTACTGGGACAGTGAGTGTCACCCAGCTCATCATGGCCTAACTTTCAAGGTCAACAGCACTTGGGGTGCCTGGAAAACTACATGGCAGAATGAGTGTGCAGAATTGCAGGGCAGGAAGGAGCTTAAAAAATAGCACTTTATGTTTGACTGTTCAATATGAGAAAAATGAAGTCACAAAGTACGGAACAAAGTTGAAACAATTTAGTATGTAGTTTCGGAGACCACTGAAAATCCAAACAAGAATCACTGGCACAGGAGAGATTGTATCACATCCAGAAAATTATAGAGGTATATATACTTTTTTTTAAATAAATATGCAACCTAATGCTTCAGAAAAATCAAGGCTGTCTGGAATTGAGGTTGTCTCCATTCTTGCTGTTTCTGTGTCCTCCTGATGCCTGGAACTTTTATCTGATATCAAACTTCTGAGACCAAATATTAATTAGTAGTTTAACCTTGGGCAGAGTCAGATTCAGCCTTCACCACCTGTTTGGATGGAGCACAGCTGTGAGGGACCTCCACTGTGAGGGAGCTTTGAGGCCCTCTTGGCCCTAAGCCTTATCACAAATGAAAATGCATGGGCAGGGGGAGACGACTTGGGCAGGGAGAACTTGTGCTCCCATAGGGCAAGTGCTGGTGTC